TAAGTGTTCACTACACTTCTGTAAATCATATTTGATGTCATTATTATGTATAAAGCAGCATTATATCAGCTGTCAGTCACTTTAGAGAAAAACTGTAGAAAATGCAAAAAAAAAAAAAATAATGCATGTAATTTGATTAAAATAAATGTAAATGACATAAATAAAAAATATTAAAATAAGTGACTAAAATAATTAAATAATATACAAATGATTGAAATAAATAAAAATGGCATAAATAATGCATGTAATTTGATTAAAATAAATGTAAATTACATAAAAAAATATTAAGTGATTAAAATAATTAAATAATATACAAATGATTCAAATAAATTAAAAAATGCAAATAGAATATTAAATAAAAAATATTAAAATAAGTTAAAAAAATTACTAAAATAATATACAAATTATTAAAATAAATAGTACATAATACAGTACTATAGTGAATAGAATAATGTGAGAATATTAATTAAAAATTATTTGTTATATATTATATTATAAATTATAGTTTAAAAAAAATTATTATTATAATTATAAAATAAATTATTATTATTATAAATAACCATAAATCTAATTAAATGAATAAATAATGTGATTAAAATAAATAACAATGACTAAAATAAAAAAAAAAAGATTTCAATAAATAATATGTAACTGTAAAGTATAGCGAATAGACAAAAACTCATAATAACGTAACATAATTTTTTCCAAATAATATTTTAGACATAATTATAGTATTAATATTTCACATTATAAATTGAGTCTCCATACATACAAAAAAAAAATAGATAGCTGCCTTTAATATTTTAGGATGATTATATTTGGGGGTCCGTTTTAACTTGTACCGTTGTACAACTGTAATACCATGTTATTTGGTCTTTTACCATAGTATTCTGTAAAGTACCTTGGAATGCATTGGTCAGACACCACGGTAATATTAGAGTAGTCTAAATGATCATTCGCACCATTCACAGGGGTAATAATACCATGGTATTCGGTCATTTACCATAGCAGTATCGTGGTATTCTGTAAAGTAATCTGGAATGCATTGATCAAATACCACGGTAATCCCATAATCTTGGGTCATTTACCTTTGATAGTGTTTAAAGGTCCTTGGAAAGCCAAGTAAGCGAGTGTGAGTGTTTACTGCAGTCACTGCTTCTGTGGCTGGTTTCTCTGTGTATTAAAGTGAGCAGAGCTTTCACATCTGCTTCTTCACCTTATCTCTGCTGGACTTCAGACCTTCACAGCAGATTAGATTGGGTTTGCTGGCGTCACACGGGGCCTAGTCTTAGTTAAGCTAACTAGTCTTTACACACGGCACGAGTCAGGCTACAGGACCGCTTGGGAGCTGTCTATGTAGGCTGCATTATTTGTTATGCTGACTTCTGAGAAACTATCGTTTAGCTATAGAGCAGATACAACTTTTATATTTTATTTTATTATTTTATTATTTTATATTTAGATTTTATTTCATGCTGCCTTCTTTTATAGCCAAAGAACAGATAAAACGTTACATTATTTTATACATTATAATATATTTTTTATTTTTGTTTTATTATAAACATGTTTATATTTAAATGAAATGCATTTAAATATTAAATAAAATGTAAAAATGTAATATTTATTTATTCGTGCATTTATAAAGCAGATTTGTTTTAATTTTTATTTAATATTTGTATTTTATATCATGCTGCCGTCTAAGATGCTGTCTTTTAGATTTTATATTATATTATTTTATATTATTCTGCCTTCTAAGACAACTTCTTTTAGCCAAACACTAGATAGGATTTGTTATTATATATATTATTATTATTTTATATTTATATTTTAAATTATGCTACCTTCTAAGACACTTTCTTTTATATCCAAAGAACAGATAAAACTTTACATTATTTTATATATTATAATATTTTTTTTAATTTTTGTTTTATTACATATGTTTATATTTAAATGAAATAGATTTAAATATTAAATAAAATTTAATATTTATTTATTTAAGAACTTCTTTTAGCCAAAGAGCAGAAAATATTATATTTAATATTTATATTTTATATTATTCTGCCTTCTAAGACAACTTTTAGCCAAACAGCAGATAGGATTTATGTTATTTTATATTATTATTATTTTATATTATGCTGTCTTCTGCGATGGCTTCTTTTAGCCAAACAGCAGATATTATATTATTTATTTTATATTATGCTGCCTTCTAAAATGACTTTTTCAGCCAAAGAGCTGATGCAATTTTTTATTATTTATGTATTATTATTCTTTTATACTTATATTTTACTTTATACTGCCTTCTGTTAGTCCAAGAACAGATACAATTGTATATATTATTTTACATTAATATTTTATAATTTGCTGCATTCTTTTAGCCAAAGAGCAGATAAGATTTTATATTTATATTTTATATTATGCTTTTTTCTAAGATGCTCTCTTTTAGACAAATAGCAGATGTTATATCATTTTATATATATATTATGTTTTTAATATTTTGTATTAGCATCGCACGTTTCCTTTGCAGAGAAGTCGGATTGCAACAATTCTGTTTTGTTTGTCATCTCAACAGTGTTTAGCTGTTAGTTCAAATCTGCCAGGTCTAGTTTAAATCAACAGTACATGTTGTAACACACACACAATAAGACCTGCTTTTGTCATGAAGGCCGTCTGTTTAAACAAGCTATTGTGTGTGTGTGTGTGTGTGAGAGAGAGTGTGTGTGTGTGTGAGTGTGTGTGTGTGTGTGTGAGAGAGAGAGAGTGTGTGTGTGTGTGTGTGTGTGTGTGAGAGTGAGAGAGAGAGAGAGTGTGTGTGTGTGTGTGTGTGTGTGTGAGAGTGAGAGAGAGAGAGAGTGTGTGTGTGTGTGTGTGTGTGTGTGAGAGTGAGAGAGAGAGAGAGTGTGTGTGTGTGTGTGTGTGTGTGTGAGAGTGAGAGAGAGAGAGAGTGTGTGTGTGTGTGTGTGTGTGTGTGAGAGTGAGAGAGAGAGAGAGTGTGTGTGTGTGTGTGTGTGTGTGTGAGAGTGAGAGAGAGAGAGAGTGTGTGTGTGTGTGTGTGTGTGTGTGAGAGTGAGAGAGAGAGAGAGTGTGTGTGTGTGTGTGTGTGTGTGTGAGAGTGAGAGAGAGAGAGAGTGTGTGTGTGTGTGTGTGTGTGTGTGAGAGTGAGAGAGAGAGAGAGTGTGTGTGTGTGTGTGTGTGTGTGTGAGAGTGAGAGAGAGAGAGAGTGTGTGTGTGTGTGTGTGTGTGTGTGTGTGTGTGTTCAGAGGGGCTGTGGTTATTCTGGGAACAGACTCCAATCTCTCTGTGGAAATATGAAACCGGTCTGTGATATTTTAGAAGCCACTTCCTCCTCTGTGTGTCCGTATGTGTTTGGAGCTCCTCGTATCTGAGTTTTATATTTATCTGTGTGCCTGCGAGTCCTAATAAGGACCGGTCTGACAGACAGAGCAGGGAGAGGCTGGGAACGGTTCGGACAAATACGGGCGAGAGTCTGTTCCCACACTCGGCGTCAGGAGCGAATACAAAAGCTTCAGAGTCATTTACACTCAGCTGTGGCCTTGTTGTGTAACAACACCTGCTGGAGAGAAAGCAGTGCTATTGATCTACTGTCTGTCATTCCTGCTTTCATCTTCACAGCCTTTACTGTGGTTTGTTTTGGGGAAAAGAGAAAGAAAATGCTTTTCTGTCCCTTTCTATCCAACTTTTATTTTGCAAGAATATATTGACATGTACTGCTTATTTATTGCTGATTTTTAAGTGTTCTATAGCCAATAAAAATCTAAATATATATTTATAAATTTTAATAATTAATTGAATATATATATAAAGCTAAATAAGTATATAAATACTATTAATAAATATAATATAAATAAATTGTTTTAATAAAATTACACTATTACACTATAATTAAATAAATAAATTATTATTAGTTTTTTTTTTTTTTTCTACCGAGGAATTTACCAATTAATTCTTTAAAAATCCTACAATGTGATTTTCTGGATTGTTTTTTCTCATTTTGTCTCTCATAGTTGAGGTATACCTATGATGAAAATTACAGGCCTCTCTCATCTTTTTAAGTGGGAGAACTTGCACAATTGGTGGCTGACTAAATACTTTTTTGCCCCACTGTATATTTTCATATATTTATAGTTAATAAATACTTTTAAATTATTAACATTTTCTGCCTTTTGTCACAATGATAATTATTATTATACTTGAGCAGTAAATTAATTATTAATTGTAATAATTTAGATT